CCCGCGGCCGGGCGGCTGCGGCGCCCTGCGCCTCGTCCCGGCTCTGCTCGGTGCAGAGGCACCAGCCGTGTCGGTGCGAGGCTGCGGCTGCAGCTCATCCGCCCGCCCTGCATCCCGGTGCTGTGATTCCCACACAGGCCTGGATGTGTGGGAAGATGTGGGCCGGTGGAGAAGCCCCGTATCCGAGGGCTCTGAGTGCGCCCAACTCCGTGGCTCCTGTGCATGGGCTGCTCGGGTTTTATCTTGCACCGTGGCTGGACACGATTCCTGGTGCAACAGGGCAGAAATATCTGCAGAAGCTCTGCGGGGTGAAGGGAGCTCTCCATGGCACATCCCATGACCCCAATCTCTTGGTCACATCGTCTGCCCTGGCAGCCCACAAGAGAACTATGAAGCCTGCTCAGAAATGCGGCGGTGGCTCCAGTTCACCCTCCAGAGCCTCGTTCACACCATCCTTTGCATCACTGCGGTGCATTTGACCCTGGGACGGGGGCTGGTGCAGCTGCAAATGGGAAATTGCCCTGTCAAACCACAGCGAAATGCACCCCAGGGAGCAGAGCCAGGGATTTCCCTGCCAGCTGCAGGGGTGACAGCTCTGCTCCTCTGAAAGGTGCCAGTGGCCACGTTGGGATGTGACCTCCCACTTCCATGAGGTTTATTCGAAGCCAACTGTGCGTTAAACCCGGACCTCACAGCTCAGCCCTGCACCGAGCTGCAAAAACCAAACTGCCCTGTCCCATGTGTAGCCCTTGCTCAGTCCTGTGCCCCAAACCCCTCGTGGGGCTTTGCCATGTGTTTGCTGCCCCCACCAGACCCTCCTGATCCCACATGTGGCGCCTGGCTTCCATTTTCTCTGCCATTTTCCACACACGTTCGAAGCCGCTGTCACCCGCCGCCTGCCCCGGCCCGGCTGGAGGTGCCGCCTAATCGCAGACTTCCTCCACTTAGCAGCTCAGGGCGCAGTAATCACCACCGCGCGCCCGCGCCGGCCCCGACCGAAACTGCTTCCCCCACCCCGCCCAACGCCAGGTG